AAAAATTCCGAATCTCTCCGTTTCGTCGAGGTTCATAGGAACAAAATGGTCGCTCCTCCACTTGTTGTACAACGTCAATATGCCCTCCTCACTCTCAAGTTCACTCTCATTGTAATCGAATCCACAAACTTTGTGGAGAATGAAAAAAAACATCAAGAAACATTTCTTCATTTTTTTGGCTTTGATTGAATTTAGTGAAATTGAAAGTTTAAGAAAGTGGTGGTGGAAATCTAAATAGGTTACATAAGAGAAATATATAGATTTCTTGGGAGTTTAGAACTTGATATAGTTCGCTGTTAAGTTGATCACATACCTTTCAATGAAACTAGTAAGTTCATCACACATTATATGGGCAACCATTAATATATTTTGACATAAGTTATAATAATTGCATTGAAATGTGTGATCAACTTAAGAGTTGACCATATTGCCTAACATTAAACTACACGAGGACAAAGCACATATGTTACGTCATAATATTGTTTTTGCATTTAAAGTATAAAGGAAACTACAACCTAAAGTTAACCAAGAAACATACCTATAAGACGATTAAGAATGATCGCACATAGGAATAATGACCAAACGTGTAAAAATAAAACCCACCTATAAGACGATTAAGAATGAACGCACCTCTTTTCCTTAACATAAGATTACGTACAATCTCGGTTTTTAGCTTATTTGCATGTCGATCAATTTCATATGTATTCCATTAAAATTCGCTATATATGTATCATTTACAAATAACAAGTCCAATAAAAAAAAATATTTACATAATCATAATCATAATTGAATTACGGACATCGTGATAACAAAATATAACGTGGAAAACTAGTTATATCATCATATTTATTTTTCTGATATCGCAAATTTAGTAGCGCTACCTTTCTTTAAAAATCAGCTAGTGGTTGAAAAATGAGAAAGAGTCGCAACGTTCCTTTAGAAAGTCCAGTTGAACTATGAAAGAAAGATAATTAGTTTTCCATATTTCTAATCATCTCATTTAAATTACCAATTATGCTAGTTCACCGACTAAGCTAATAATAATTATGATAGAAAACAAAATTTAGCTTTTCCATATTTATAATCATCTCATTTTAATTACTAATAATGCTACTTTTGTTTTAAGTTTTTTAGTTATGGTAGATCTGAACCCGTTGATCCGAAAGAAGATCGGAGAAGAAATTAAGGTGGTTGTGAAGCTGATTCGATTGTCTCTCTAGAGAGAGTTGTTTCGGGAAAAGATGGAGAATTTTGATGGTTTTGGTGACAATCTTCTGCACGGAATGATTTGAGAGCAAAATCTTCCTCCTGAAAGCTCTTTGCGGTGGTGATCTATAGATGAATCCAGTAAAGGTTCGTAGTTCCGGTGGTGATCGCGGTGCCATTTTCTTTAAAAGAGAACGCGTATGCGTCAAGTGATACACTGATACTCCCTTATTAGGAGAAGACACGTACGTGCGTTTTGTGGAAAGCTCTCCTTCATCGTCGTGGGCTTGAATTTGTTTTTGTTAGAGAAATACTTGGACTGCCTTGTTTGTTTAATTTGTAGTTGTTTTAGTATGATTAGTTTCTATTACCTTAGAGTATATAGTTTGTTTGTTTTTTTTTTGGCTAAAATGTGAATATCATTAAAATGAAAGAAAGATTTTACAAAAAAGTAGAATCTAGTGTGAAATAAAAAAAACAAGTTAGCACTAATAATGGTTAGAATGAGCAAAATGATTATTTAAGCCAAAGGGACATGAGATTACAAAAATCCTTTCTATGTCTTCTAGCCGTGATAATTGTTTGGGATTTATTTCAATTTTTTTAAATTTTTTTGAAA